CGTGTCGTAGTGTGTGTGTGTGTGTGTGTGTGTATTGTGTGTATGCATGTATGTGTGTGTGTGCGTGTGCGTGTGTGTGAGAGTATGTGTTGTCTAGGGCATTTGCGCTCAATACCACATACCTAATTGAATGCAGTCCATCAATTCCTGCGAGTTCGTCTTCTTGTACGTGACTTTGCCCGTGTTGTTATCCGTTTTGCGATGTCCTAGCTTCTCTTTGTGGGAATCATGCATGACCTTTCGCAGACTGAACGATCGCTGCATCGATACATCTGACGAAGGCCCGCTTAGCTGTCCCGTCGATGTCTGTACCTTTAGTAAGTTTCCGATCTCTCCACCATGACTTTGTTGGCTTTCAACACGCTGCAGCTCAGGTTCTCTATCTGCGCTGTTATGTAATGTACGACTTATGGGTACACCTTCGTTGTTGCCACCCGCTAACTCCTTACTATTGTCCTCCTTTGCTTCAGCACCTGTTGCTGTTTGTCCCGCATCTCCTTCAGCCTTGTCCTTTCCTTTAGCATTTGGTTGCGTGTGGTTTGTATTGGTATGGCGACTACTTTTATGGTGATGGTGACCGCCCGTATGCGTATGGTGTGATCCTGCGTGCAAGTTACTTCGCTTACGCACTATCACCACCTTGCCTGCAGAAAAATCGTTTCTATGGTTCCCAATGTTTGCATCTGCCTCTGCATGGCCTGCATGTGAACCTATATCCTCTGTGCCTTCATCTTGTGAAGTATCGGTAAGCTTAACCGTCTCATGTGTACCGGTGTCTAAATCACTTATGCTACGTATGATTAACACTTCAGGCTGTTCTTGATCGTCTGCGTTACTATGAAGCTCACAAACCCGTTTATCACTCTCATTTCCTATTGTAATTTCGGGACTTTCTGAATTGTTTGTATCGAGCTCAGCTTGTACATCGGCATGTGCACCTGAAGGTGATTCAGTTGTTGTATCTACAGGCCCATCTGAATGCGTATCTGTACTCGTATTTACTTGTGTATCATTGTCTTTTTGATTAGTTGTCGCTGAGTCTATGTTTTTCTGTGCATCCGCTTGGGAATCTCCAACCGCACTTGCGTGCGTATTGATAGCCACGGGTATCCCTTTCGAGTGATCTACATCCCCATTTGCTGTTCCTTCTACTGCTGCATGTGTATATTTTTTCTCGTGTGCTCCATTTGAAGTTGAGCCTCTTGAAGTAAAGTCTTCATTCTGGCTTTCAGCAGGTTCCCCTGAACGAGCACCATTCCGTACGCTCTCCGCTGCCATCTTCACTGTTCTAAATCATGTGCTGCTGTTGTTGTTGTTTAGTCGATCATACTCTTAATAAATTAACTACTTCATATACTGACAAAACAAAATACCAGGTCAATACTGTGCGTGACATACCAAACATATACACACACTGATGTTTAAATCCAGATCACAGACATACTTTATAAATATTTGTATAAACACGGCAATAATAACCCCCGGAACTTTCTACACTCTTTGCTTGAATTTGAAGTGATCAGTTTTTCACTCGATCACGAAATTTGTAAAACCCTACCGTCTTGTCGATTGGAGTAATCGTTGAACGCAGACACATAAAACGGTTGTGAGAATTACACCAGTGTACGCTGTTCTGTAACAGATTAAACGTTTATTTAACGTTATCGAAAAAACGCTTGATTTTTTAAAAAAAAGCCTTTTTGACCATAGCCTCCTAAAAGCAGTACAGTTTTGTAGGAGGCTATGTTTTTATGTGTAAAATATCATAGTATTTATATTTCAAGAAAAAATAATCAGTGTGATATGTAGCTTAGTAAAAAAAGCCCCAGCAAATAGCAGCAACTGAAATAATTCTAAATACAGCGATATTATACGCGTATGAATGATGGCGTCATGTGAAATATGGTGACTATTATCATCAGCCAGCTCTAGTACTAATGATATGTATTTATGTCTGTAGTGTACAAGACTACAAGCATGCCATTTGTATGTGTATTCATATAAGTCGTGTGCTATACGCAATGCGCTTCATATCGCTTACACTTCGATCCTTTGAAGGTGCTTGATACCTCCATATACATGTGGTTGATAGGCATCTCGCTTGGGTACTCTTGGTGAAAATAGCGTAGAACCTTTGGGTGGAGAGTGCTACCGTCAGCCAGTCTCCAAGCTATCCCACACTACGTTTACATTGTGCTATCGCAAGCAATATAAGCAGTGCGTATCGGTATGCCCAGATTATGCGTATTCTAGTATCGATTGACTGCATCGATGTGTCTGTCACCAATACACATGCTCAGTCCATAGTATCGTCCCGCTGTGCATTGTGATCAGCGATGCGTGTTGCCATTGTGAGAGTAACATATCTTTGAACTACGATCCTGCTAATTTAGATACATGCGCCCGTTGAGAAAAGAATAATATATTGACACAGTAATATATATATATGTGTGTTTGTGTGTGTGTGTGTGTGTGTGTGTGGT